TTTACGGCGAATTACGAAAATCGCCTATGTCAAAATTTTATTAGAACGCTGTTGACAGAAGGGATTTAATGTCATTTCGTAGTGGGCAAAAGATGAGAAAAATCTAACGACTGGATTTTTTTTAAATAAACAAAAACCATTTTTTAAGCCTTGTTTTTAACCAACCCCGTTGCCATGGCAACAGCACACACCTTAGCCAAAATGCGAGAATAAACTTTTCTGTGGTTAATCTCGACTCTTGCAAAAAATGGACGCCAAAGCATAAATAGCTTAAAAGTAATGATGAATTAGGTATAGGCTCTTGAAAACTGTGTTCGGCCACCTTAAGTGAGCAGGAGTTGAATCAGCTGGTTGAACAAAGACATTCGGAAGTCGGAGACGGACCAAAAGCAACAACAACAACAACAAACTGGTCTGTATCAACCTTTCAAGGTTAGTAATGCATAGCGGGAATTTTAGAGAGAATTTTTAGCCATTTGATGACAGTAAAATTCAGTACTAGCTTTCATTGTAAAACTTTTCTAGCATCGAAAGCCATTTAAATGCTTCGGCAAGCAAGACTTGTACATGAGAGTTTTACCAAATTTTCTGTCATAAGTGAAGCTTCTTCTCTTCCAAAAACGTTAAAGATGATACTTTTACTGAGCTTTAATAAAGGAAATTTTATCAAATATTGGCAGCCTCTGATGAATTATTTCAATTGGCCCAGGTTTCAGTTTTGCTCGATCATAAATTTAACTCTTAAAGGAACAGCTGCTTGAAGGAACGACTGCATCATGTACAAATATAAGCTTACTTTTCTAACATTTTCCTTTTAGCCTCAGTTTTGTGTTCAGTTAAGCTTATTTTACCAAATACCGAAAGTGACAGAGATGTTAACATCATTCATGTGTTCAATTTCAACCTTGGACACGCAACTTATCAGCTTGAAACGAAGTGGAAAGGAAACTGTAACTTATCCCACGAACCTGCTTTTGAAAAAGAGCATCTCAAATTAAACAGATCAAAGCAAGGGGCTTTCGTTTGCCTTCTTCCCCACTCTCACTTTTACAGCCGTAAGAAACGTCTGGTTCCATATTGTTCTTTTCTTTTGCTGAAGAGGATGTGGAAGACGGAGAGCTCAACCACCAAAAGTTTTGGAAAACCAATCCAAATCTTACTGACTTTGGAGAAACGCTTTTACCGACAGCAATTTTTGTCTGTTAGCTTGATGTTTCGGTTAACTGAGCAGTTTGAAGTTGTTTGTTTGTCCAAGATCAAGAAAACGTAAACTAACTCACCATGATCCAAGAAAAATGTTGTTGTGTTGCTTTGTCAGATTTTTTAATGAACATTCTTGCGCAGTTGATAATGCTTTTGACTTCATGTGAGCAGGATGAGATCTGGAGATTCAAAATAAAATACTTCCATCCAAGGAAAGATGTTAAAAGTCTCAATGTTATAAAAGAAATGGGAAATGGTAAGCATGTAATGTGCAACTATCGAGTTATAGACGCACTTGGGAGGTTTGCTAAGCACTCAAGAAGCTGGCATACCACTTTGCTATCACCTCGCGTCATGCAACTCTTATGTTTCTTTCATGCTTAGCAACCTCTTGCGTGCATCCATATCTCGATAGTTGCGTGCTGCACATTTACCGTTTGTTAATTAAATAAATGAAATATTTAATTAGTAAAAAGGTGGGGCAGCACTTTGTGGCTTGGCCTGGTGTATGTAAACTTTGGAAGGAGTTACGACATCTGTAGTTCAGACCCAACATATTCTTGTCGTCATTTGTCTTATTGTCTGTTTTTCTCTTTGTTTAGGGCACCTATTCAATCGGAAGGCAGATAGATTGCACTCCTTGTCCAGCGGGCCACGCTTGCCCAAAAACAGACTCCAATGATACTGTGACTTGTCTACCAGGAACATACGCAGTTGGATCACAAACAGTATGTCATCACCCTGCTAATCCACACACCCACAACAATGTTTCAAAGCACTTGTGCTAGCTAAGTGTATAACCCATAAATGTAATAAAACCATAAAATGTAATACCAACCATAAATGTAATAAGAATTAACCATAAATGTAATAGCTTTAAACCACTGTTCCAGGAAGTGGGCGAGCGAGGGAAAAACAAGTGGAAATAAGGCGTCTTCATTCACCCCCGACTATTCGAGAGCCTGGAACAGGCTACCCTGTACAAAATAAGAGAATGGCAGGGTTTGTGACCCCTTGACTCAGAGGTGATAGGCAGTTTATTACATTTATGGTTAAGCCGTATTACAGTTATGGTTGTTCGGTTTATTATATTTATGGTCAAATTTTTGCTACATTTATGGTTGGTGGATTTATTACATTTATGGTTAAGCTGTATTACAGTTATGGTTGTTCAGTTAATCACGTTTATGATCAAATTTTATTTCATTTATGGTTAGTGGATTTATCACTTTATTTTGTGGCTAAAAGTCATTACATTTATGGTCAGTATAGCATTTATGGTCAATTTTTATTACATTTATGATTGGTATTACATTTATGGCTTTTAGTACATTTTATGGGTGATACAGCTTAGTATATAACCAAAGCCAATCACTTGATGTGTAGATGTGGCCCTTAATGTGATGTTGCAGTACAATGTATACATGTTTCATTGGGGGGGGGGGGGGGGGG